AAAAAAAAAAAAAAAAAAAAAAAAAAAAAAATTACAATGAGCCTGCTTTTATTTCCAACATAATGAGTGGGATTTCCCATGTGCTTGGAATATGACTACATTGAAACAGCAGGGATTTCAAAACTTGGCTTTTTTTTTTTTTTTTTTTCAAGACAGGGCTTCTCTGTGTATCCCTGGCTGTCCTGGAACTCTCCCTGTAGACCAAGCTGGTCTCGAACTCACAAAGGTCTGCTTGTCTCTGCCTCCAAAGTGCTGGAATTCAAGGAGTGCGCCACCATTGCCCAGTTTTTTTTTTCTTTCAATAAGTGGGAGGAATCAAATTTGTAGAAAAGTAGGGAAGAGAATCTCGCCATACACAGCTTCAACTTGCCATTTTGCTGATGCCATAGCCAAGAGATGGGTCAGTAAATAAAGCTGCTTACAGCCAAGCCTGCCCACCCGAGTTCCATCCCTGGAGCCCACACGGTGGGGAATGATAACTCCCACAAGTTGTCTTCTAACTTAATATATACACACTATGGCATGCATACCCACATACGTGCACTCGCACACATAACTGTAATTAAAAAGACCCCAGATTTAAATGTCACCACAGCTAAACTAACTGAACTGTACGTCTACTGCCAGCCAAAGAATTTTCCCATCAAGTCCCCTACCTATATCACCACTAGAAAGTAACACAAGCCGGACCATGCTGCCCGAGAGGACCTGAGTCAGGCCAGGTCAATCACTGTCCAGCTGAGATTTTGCGACAAGGTCGCTTGCTAACCCTGGAGCTCCCTAATTTGGCTAAGCTAGCTGGCCAGTGAACTCCAGGGGTCCTCCCATCTCTGGCTCCCGAGCAGGAGCACTGGGATCGTAGGCACATGACACCAAGCTTGGGCTTTTATGTGAGTGCTGGGGACGGAACTCTGGTCCTTACCCTTGTGCAGCAAGGACGTTACCAACTGAGTCATCGCATTGTCTTCACTTTATTATATGATATATATATATACATATATACATATATATATCCTCCTATATATTATTAGATAATATGTATCACTATATGATCATATACACACATATATATTTAGATATGTATATATTGTATAAATATAATATTTATATATAAATAAAAATATATAAAATATATTTTTATATATATAAATAAAATCTCCTTTTTGCTTTGCAAGAGTTTTATCCACTCTGCAAGAATGTCAACAAAACCAAGGGCTTCCCCTGACCTACAGCCCTAGTCCGGCGCGCGCGCCGCCCCCCCCCCCCCCCCCCCCCCCCCGCGCCTTTTTTTTTTTTTTTTTTGTGCTACCTCTCTCTTAAACGGGACTTTTTTTTTTTTTTTTTTTTTTGGTTTTTTCGAGACAGGGTTTCTCTGTGTAGCTTTGCGCCTTTCCTGGAACTCACTTGGTAGCCCAGGCTGGCCTCGAACTCACAGAGATCCGCCTGGCTCTGCCTCCCGAGTGCTGGGATTAAAGGCGTGCGCCACCACCGCCCGGCAAACGGGACTTTTTTTAGGAGTTTTACTTTGGTTCACTTGGGCCTTTGATTCTTTTTTTTTCACCATCTATCCAGTCTTTTCTTCTTCCCTTGGACAAATGGACATACAGATGGGCAACTAAAACATTTTTGGTCACAGTCTCTTGCCGTACGGGCTTTCCCTCGTGAGATTCATCCTACTGACCTCTACTCTTACGCCTCACTATTAATCACTCGGCTACACTTGGGCCACACACACCCTTTGTTCTTTGATCCCCTTCGCATTAGGTGAGGACCCTGCCTCAGCTATTTCTTCTTCTGTTATTTGAAGGACAGTATTCAGTCTATCTTCCAAGTGTTACCCTAATTTTTACCTAATATTTCCTAGGATACAATGACCTTTAAAAACTTTTTTTTTTTTTTTTCGGGCTGGAGAGGTGGTTCAGCGGTTAAGAGCACTGACTGCTCTTCTAGAGGTCCTGAGTTCAATTCCCAGCACCCACATGGTGGCTCACAACCATCTGTAATGAGATCTGGTGCCCTCTTCTGGCCTATAAGCATATGTGCAGATAGAACACACTGTATGCATAATAAGTAAATCTTAAAAAAAACACACAATTTTTTTTTTCTTCTTGGCTAATAAGATAGAAGGTGGATTGACATCTTAGCAGCTAACCTCACAATCTTGACAGGCTTGCGATCCCACCTCGTTTCTACCCTAGAGACACGATCTTTGCCCCTCCCAGGCCCTACCTCACCCCAGTCAACTCTTCCTGGTTCCATACACGCCCCCTCACTTGTCCCAAGTCCCTACTTGGGCAGCTGGAGCATCTAAAACAGTCCCGCAGAGTCTGCTGCCTAGAAGCCCTTCTGGATCTCCGCAGCTTTGAGCGGTTTGGATATTCCGGCCAATCGTAGCCCTAAATGCAGCGAGGCAGGCTCATCCCACCAATCGTAGCTCTCAACACAGAGAGGGCGGATTCTCCGGCCAATCGCAGCCCGGAATGCAGCGAGTCTCCGGCCCGCCGGGCGTCTGCGTGGAGCGGTGGGCGTGGCTGAGGGAAGATGGCGGCGCCCGTGGCTCCGGCTGAGCCCCAAGCCTCCGGGGCTCCCCAGCTCCCCGTGTGTCTCCTGGTGCTGGGGATGGCGGGGTCCGGGAAAACTACCTTTGTGCAGGTGACGTGCACTTCGCGGAAGCGGCGGTAGCGCTCGACAGGTTGCCCGTGGCCGGGGAGGACGGGAAGAAGTTGTCTGGGGAGTTGGGGGCTCTAGGCGCGTGGTTTTCTTGCCTCTGACTCCCGAAGCCTCGAACCCTGGCCTGGGTCGCTTAAGGCAGCCTTCTGGGTGACCATGGTGCATGTTTGGTACAACTGAAATTGTCTTGCTGTGAATGAGCAGCTTTTTTGAACGCCCCGGGCTTAAAAGAGAGTAGGGGATTTAATGCCAGCACCCCTGGTTTTGCGTGAGGAAGTTGTGAAAGAATTAACTTCTTTCGACCCAAGACGTTCTAAGTTCTGAGTGTAGAGCGAACATGGAATCGACAGGGTTCTTGCTTTCACGGTGTTAATGTCTTAGTGAAGGAGATGAGGCGGGGGGGGGGGGACCCCAAACCCTTACAGGGCCATTCGAAGTTAGTGAAGAGGTGATGGAGGGTAGAGGAGGCCTGCTCGATGCCTTTTAAACAGTTTGTTGTTGAACAAGTGTAATAGGTGGAGGGGAGAATGAAATTGTTATAGGTTATTCCCTGGTCTTGCAGAGGCTCACAGGACACCTGCACAACAGAGGCTCCCCACCTTACGTCATCAACCTGGACCCAGCTGTGCATGAAGTCCCCTTTCCCGCCAATATTGGTGAGTGCCTTCAGTTTTCTTTTTTTTTTTCCTGCCCTGAATTAGCCAACTATCTACTTTTTATTTTCTTTGGATTTGCCCGAGTTCCACAACAGGCTTCTTCCTTACTAAGATTCATCCCTCTCTTTATCTAATGGCTCCTAAGGTGTGTATCATTTCCATTCTCCTGTCTGTCTGTCTGTCTGTCTGTCTCTCTCTCTCTCTCTTGTCCTTAGTGTGTGAAACTGTTGTAATGGATTGGAGGAGAAGTCACATTAAGTCAGGCTATAAAAAAAAAAAAAGTGACATATAAATCATTCAGTTTCTTGTATCAGTGTTGTAGTAAGAGTTTATGAGTTCTGCTCGAATTCACTCTGATCTGTAGGAAGGTCCCTTCCATTCCCAAAGGTGTGTGTATGTGTGTGGGGCTGGATTTAAAAATAGACATTGCGTCTCAAAAAACAAACAAACAAACAAACAAACAAAAACAAGAAATGCATTGCTCTGAGGAGAGTTTCTGACTGAAACTATCAGAAAGATTAAGTATGGGTTGTTATCCAAGAGAGTCTGAGGCATAATATTTTAAGAGTTCAGGGTCAGTAGGACCTACCTAGCCAATCACTCCTTGTTTGTTGTTTTTTAATAAAGAAAAAAATGGGAGGTGAGGGGTAGATTCATTATGAAAGTGTATGCGATCCAGTGACAAGGTTCTTGCTGGGTTCAGGCTTCCTGATTCCTTGGCTATCACTATAATCCTAGTAAGCTTCTTATATCCCAAATATACAAATTAAGGGGGAGGTGGGGAGATGTTGTTTTAAGAATCATAGATCATTTTGGGAAGATTTGGCAAAAAGTTTCCTATCCAGACTCGAGGATAACTTGTAATATTGTTCCTCTCCTGGCTGGTGGGTCGATTTCTTATAATTTATTTATTTTTATTTTATGTGTATGGATGTTGTACCTGCGTCTGTGCATCATGGTATGTGCCTGATTCCTTCAGAGGCCAGAAGAGGGTGCCAGAACCCCTGGAACTTGACTTACGGACATTTGTGAGCCGCTCTGTAGGTGCTGGGAACTGAATCTGGGTCTTCTACAAGAGTCACAAGTGCTCTTAATCACTGAGCCCAGCTCCTGGTAGATAGGTTTTTTTTGTTTTGTTTTTTTTTTTTTTTTGGTTTTTCGAGACAGGGTTTCTCTGTGTAGCTTTGCGCCTTTCCTGGAACTCGTTTTGGAGACCAGGCTGGCCTCGAACTCACAGAGATCCGCCTGCCTCTGCCTCCCGAGTGCTGGGATTAAAGGCGTGCGCCACCACCGCCCGGCCGGTAGATAGGTTTTGGTAGATCCCAGTGGATGGATTCTTTTTTCATATGTCTGTGAGTTGCCTCTATTACCAGGCAGTGGTTAGTAAGAAGTCTTATTTTCTCGGTTTGAGTTTTGTTTTTTCCCCTGTGCACGTGCCCACTACCATTAAAATTGATTAAAACTTTTAATCTTGTTTCAGACAATATCTATCATGATTAAGAGCTTCTAGCCTAACTTTTTTGTTTGTTTGAGACAGGGTCTCTCTATGTAGTCCTGGCTGTCTGTCCTGGAACTTACTTTGTAGACCAGACTGGTCTCAGACTCATAGACATCTGCTGGACTCTGCCTCTGCCTCTTGAGTGCTGGGATTAAAAGTGTGCATCATCACACCTAGGAGCTCAACATTCTTCATAGGATACTTGGCAGTACCTTTAGTCCGGAAAGAAGCCATTGTAACTGGAGAAAGGTATAAGAAAATGCTGGTAAGAAGCCTAAGTCAGTTTTGGTGGCACTTGTGCAACCTTAGCACTCAGGAGGCTGAGGCAGGAGAATTGCTCAGAGTTTGAGGATAGCTTGGACTCCATGGAAAGTTCAAAGCCAGTCCAGACAACTGAGACCGTGCCTCAAGAGGTAAAATAACACCGGGTGGTGGTGGCGCATGCCTTTAATCCCAGCACTTGGGAAGCAGAGCCAGGCAGATCTCTGTGAGTTTGAGGCCAGCCTGGGCTACAGAGCAAGATCCAGGAAAGGCATCAAAACTACAGAGAAACCCTGTCTTGAAAAACAAACAAACAAAAAACAAAAAAGAAGTAAAGTAAACCATGATCTCTCTTTTCCCCTCAGATATTCGTGACACAGTGAAGTATAAAGAAGTCATGAAACAGTATCCTTTTCTTTGTCTACTGTGGGATGGATGGACTCGTCTCTGGAGAATTGCTCCCCACTTTGACGGACTGGTTTGCCTGTCAAATTGTGAAATGCACAAGTAGAAAACTTACTTTTAAGTAATCTGTATTAAAAAGATATAAGATGAATGTAGGGAGAGTAGAGGTTTCCAGCCATCCTACCCTACCATTTGATTCCAGTTTTCTTGACATGCACAGACTACAGGTATTGTAATCAGAGAGCAGAAGATGAGTGGCCAGCTGTTAACTGCCCGGGTCCAGTGAAGTGATGTTGTCTTGGGTGAGACAGTCATTGATAACTATGAATTCAACCAGGAAACTCAGAAAAATATGTTGAGTTGGATTAATTCTCATGGATTGATTTCAGCATGGCATGTGGCTCTCTGTAAGTACTTTTAGGTTGCTTGGTTAGTTAGGATCAGAGTAAAGAGTGTTACATGTAGTCCGGGCGGGGATGGACCTCACTGTCCCCCGGCTGGCCTGAAATCCACAGAGATCTGCCTGCCTCTACCTCCTGAATGCTGGGATTAAATGCGTGGGCTCCCACGTCTGGCTGCGTAGATGATTTTAATGACGGATGCCAGCAGCCTGTCACCCACTGTTGACACGTCTGTGTATTCACTACGTTTTGGCCATTATCTTGTGTGACCATCCCTAAAATGATAGATGAACGAGGAGGCCCTTGCTAGTCAGTGGTTCTTGGAATGTCAAGGTTGTGTGGTGGTCAAGACTGGGTTGCCAGTGCCCATTGATTGAACACGAATACCGTTACATACTGAACATGATGCTCTTGGATGAATGACAGTCTAGATATGAGCCATGTGATCTCATATGTGCAACTTAAATCCTTAACTGAATGCTCAGGTATGGCCTGGGACCAAATGGCGGCATAGTGACCTCGCTCAATCTCTTTGCTACCAGATTTGATCAGGTGAGGCTTCTTTACATTTACAGGCATGGTACTCTAAAAGTCTGACTCTGAAGATGCTCCTGCTTGATCCCATTGATAAAGAAGAGCAGCAAAAATGGAGAAATACCAAAAATAAGCAGGCATTTTGGTAGACAGAGATAACCTCTGACTGCGTTGGGACACTTTCACCTTTAACGTTTGTGAGGGAACAAAAGAGAAATCCCAGAGACCTGGGTTCTTCCTGTGACCTGTTCCCGGCTTATGGTGTCACTGAGGGTACAGGGCCCTGCCGTTAGCCACAGCGAGGGAGGTGAAATAATGACCCTTTTTTCTTGTAAGGAGTATTTGCCATCCTCTAGATTTCCCGTCCCTTACTCCCATGAGAGTGGCTTATAATCACTACATTTTACTCTGGTTCTGCTACTTGAGACATTAGCACTTGACCCAAAGCCAGGATGGTGTGTAACTGAATTCCCAGCTCGGGAGCATGAAGCAGGAGAATCGCACGAGGCTGAGGTCCGCAGTATGCCTGACCCTGGCTCTTTAAAGCAGACAAATATGGCCATTGTGTTGGGGGACCCTGATGCCCCAGTGACGGTCCAGGTCTGGCGCTGTGCTCCAGGTTCCAGTGCTGTTGCTGTGGCTCTGCATCGAGGAGGCCATTGCTTGGTGTCCTCGGGTTGTGCCCTGTGATGGTGCATGTAACGCGTGCCACCCTGGAGGGTGACCTCTGGTGCGGTGTTGGAATTAGATGGTGTTACAGTTGACATCTTTTTCTTCTAGGTGATGAAATTTATCGAGAAGGCCCAGAACACGTTCAGGTAGGTGGTTTGAGTTGACTGCCTGTCACTGATACAGTTCTAGACCTTTGAGAGGATTTGGTGACCTTTGAACCCCGAAACTGTGTTAGCTGAGACAAGTCATGAAAAGAAAGAAAGGTGGACAGTAAAATCGTTGGGATGACACATAACACAGAGGACTGCTCCCAGTTATATTGGCCCCTCCCACAACCCCAGCACTTCTCTTCCTTTTTCTATGACTTTTGGAGAAACACTTACTGTTTTCTCCTTTCTCAGATTAAGGGAGGAAGACTTTTGCTCTTTGTTTGAGAGAGCACAGTCAACCATGATAGAGAAGACCTCATTTCTCTCCATTAACTGCTATTAAAGTTTTGATATGTTTACTTTTTCTTTTTGTGTAATTTTCTGTTCAGATTTTAAAGCTATAAAAGAGGGGAAGACATCTGTATTATGTGTCTAAGTCACAACATCCTAAAACAAATACTACTGCTGCCAGCAGATTCATTGTACGCATTTCTGATGAAATTCAGTACAGAAACTCTGTCTCGAAAAACAAAACAAAAACAAATTAAAAGCATGTGCCAGCGAGATGGCTCAGCAGGTAGAGGCGCCTGCAGCCAAGCCTGATGACCTGAGTCTGGTTCCTGGGACCCCTATGGTGGGAGCAGAGAACTCCCACAAGTTGACCTCTGGCCTCCACATGTCTCCTGTGTACTTTTACATGTAAACTAAATAAATGGAATAAAAAGGTTATTTTAAAAGAATACATATTTGAGACATGAAACTGTCATTCTCGGTCCTAGTAACAATGACTGTTATTCGCTGCTTGGCATTTCACCTATTTCTATGCATAAAGTATTACAAAGATGGGATTATAATCAAGGTAGATTTTTGTTTTCATTAGAAAAAAATACCAAGGGCTGGAGAGATGGCTCAGCCGTTAAAGGCTAGGCTTACAACCTGAAATATAAGAAAAAAAACCAACAGAACAGTTTTTTTGTTTTGGTTTGGTTTTGAGACAGGGTTTCTCTGTGTAGCCCTGGCTGTTTTGGATCTCGCCCTGTAGACCAGGCTGACCTCGAACTCACAGAGATCCACCTGCCTCTGCCTCCCGAGTGCTGGGATTAAAGACATGCGCTACCACCTCCGGGCTAAAAAAGGTTCTTTGAGATCACATTCTGTAGTTTTCTTTTTTTTTTTTTTTGTTTGTTTGGTTTTTTCGAGACAGGGTTTCTCTGTGTAGTTTTGCGCCTTTCCTGGAGCTCACTTGGTAGCCCAGGCTGGCCTCGAACTCACAGCGATCCGCCTGGCTCTGCCTCCCGAGTGCTGGGATTAAAGGCGTGCGCCACCACCGCCCGGCTGTAGTTTTCTTTTTTAAAATGTATTTTATTATATTTACATACTGGTGCATGGATCATGATTGTTTAATTTCACACATCTCACCTATATACTCATTAACAGTCACTCCTTAATTTCCCTTCTCTGTTTCCCTAGTACCTGTCCTGTATTTATTTGCTAACTTTCTTATTAGTTTATTCTCATGGGGATTGGACTTGGTGTCGAACACCCTAAGCCCATGCTCAGCCTGTGTTTGACCCTGACTTCCATCCCTAACCCCAAGTTTGCCTGTTTCTAAAAGTATATTTATTAAGATACAGTTTACATGACATCCAAGTGTACAAGTCTGTGGCATCTAATACGTCCGGAGTTGTACACAGGGTTGTGTAACTGTCAGTGCGGTCAATTCTAGAATGTTCTATAGGCAGTAGGTATCCCCCACTCCCCCATTCCTCCATTTTTTTCTCCTTCCCCCCACACCTCCCTAAGAAACAAGATGCTTCCCAAGAGAGCTGCGTTCTGGTTTTGCTAACGTCTCATTGGTAGCGAAGGGTTTCTGTAATTACACCGTTTCCTCTCTGATTAGTTACTGCAGATTGTGCTGTGCTGTTTCTTCTCATTGGCATGCACATTGTACCTGGAGCACGCTCTTGGGAATGCGCAGTTTTAGGGCATGGTAGGACTGTGGTTGGCAGTGTGCAGAGGTTGTTGCAGTCTTGGGTCAGCAGACACTGAGCATTCGCTGTGATGGAATATCGTCAGAATTGTCCAAGTATTACACCCCTTCATGGTCTCCTTGACGCAGATATGTCTTGATTGACACACCCGGACAGATTGAAGTGTTCACCTGGTCAGCTTCTGGGACCATCATCACCGAGGCCCTGGTGAGTGTCCTGGGTCTTGTTCCTGAGAGCATCTGGAGGGTTTGCTCGGCCTCTGTCTCCTGCCTGGGCTGAACACGAGGGGGAGAGGGGAGGCTCTGCACGCCCTGTCTACAGTGCGGCTCTTACAAGAAAGGGAGGAGAAGAGGACGGGAGCAAGTGATGAGCCCCGTGACTAAGACCTCACTTACTCGGTGGTTCTTCTAGGCATCCTCATTTCCAACAGTGGTCATCTACGTGATGGACACGTCCCGAAGCACTAACCCGGTGACCTTCATGTCCAATATGCTGTATGCATGCAGGTAACTGGTGGTTGGTAGGCATGGTGTTCTGCCAGCTGTGAGGCTGCTTTCTCTTTCTCCTATCTACCTGTCTGTCTGTCTGTCTGTCTGTCATCTATCTATATCTATCATCTGTCTGTCTGTCTATCTATCTATCTATTGTTTTTTTGAGACACGGTTTCTCTGTGTAACAGCCCTAGCTGTTCTTGAACTCACTCTGTAGACCAGGCTGGCCTCGAACTCACAGAGATCCAGCTGCCTCTGCCTCCCGAGTGCTGGGATTAAAGGCGTGCGCCACCACCGCCCGGCTCTCCTTTTTATTTTTTAAAGACATTTACTTACTTATTTGTATGTATGTGGGCCTGTATGATTGTATGTGTACCACGGGTGTGCAGGAGCTCGTGGAGGCTAGAAGAGGATGTCAGATCTCTTCAAACTGGACTTAGAAGTGCTTGTGAGCCACCATGTAGGTGTTGGGAACCGAACCTGGGTCCTCTGTATAAGCTCTTAACTGCTGAGCCATATCTCCAGCTTTATTTTTTCTGACTTTATTCCCCTTTTGGTTTTGAGTCCTGGTTATATACCCCTGGATTTGTGATCATCTGTATTTACAGATTGTCCTGAGTCAGGAGAAGGCCAGTAAAGAGAGACATATATTATTGGCATTTTCTCTCAGCATCTTCCTCCCTTGGCTGTCACAGAAATATGCGGTGGTTATTCCCAGCTGGGTGAGATCCATGTCAGGGTAGAATCAGTTCTTTGGTATAAATGGTGCTTAGGTGTTGTATAAGTAATATAAAAATGTAACATGAAGAGACACCAGGAATAAAAAGTTTTATCAAAACGAGGTGTAGTGGTGCATTCCTATAATCCCAAGTCATGAGGTGAAGGAGGGCAAATTCAAAGTCAGTATAGAGTATGGAGTGAGACCCTGCCATAACATTAGGAACATTAGGAACAGAAAGATTATAGTTATCATCCCAACATGTACTAGTTTGTCCCAGATGTTGCATTGGGAGAAAAAAAGTTGCTTCACGGTTCACTGTGAATGCAGACTGAGGTTTGAGGAGAGTGCCGTGGAGACTGAGAGGAGCCATCACCAGGATGCTGGGTCTCGAAGTAAACGTCACATTGGATGCAAGACGTCCTGACACAGGAAGATAGCATTGCTCCACCCTTACGTCAAGGAGTAAAACACATGTCCTTGATTATCCTGAGTGTAGAGTCATTTCACAGTGCATTCATAGCTCAGAATGTAGCTCAGCAGGAGAGGTGTGCCCCTTACTTTCCAGGCCTGGGTCAGCCATCAGGACTGCGGACATTAATAAAGGGTAGGGGAGATCAACTTAAGACAATTCATGATGCACGCCTTAAGTGTATATAATTTTATCTTGGGCATCTACCTCAGGAAATGTGGGAAATTTTCAACCTGCAGGACAATGTTTCCGGAGGCTGAAGCAAAAGCATTGCCATAAATTCAAGCCCATCCTGGACTGTGGGCTAAGAAGTTCTAGGCTAGTGCAGGCTACAGAAAGAGACCCTGTATACAGTAAAAATTGTATACATTTACATGGCATTTGTATGGATTAAAGGAGATAATGTATATATGTACATGTGAAAGTGCCTACCAGAGTAACCATCCTGTTTTGGGTATTCAGTAAATGTTCATTCCCTCCACTTGGGTAACAAAAGAGAGAATTGTTTGATAAAATATTAAAAAGGATCACTATCAACACATGGTATGGGCTGGGGGTCAGTTGCTGCCTTGATGTTGGTGGTCATTTTCCTTTGGCAGAGGAGACTCAGTACCACTTATAATTTACTCTGAAGGTTTTCCTGTTCTCTTTACTTAGTGCCAAGAGCTTGACTGCCTTTAGTTGTTTTTAGAAATAAACTCTCACTATATGTTCAGACTGGCCTTGAACTCATGAACTTCCTGCCTGTGCCTTCTGAGTGCTGGAATTACAAGCATGTGATGTTATGCCTGGCCTTAAATGCTTTTAATAATGCTGGCTCCATCTTTGATTTTTTTTTCAGCATCTTGTACAAAACCAAGCTGCCTTTCATTGTGGTCATGAACAAAGTAAGTGCTGCTTCCTGTGGGGATGTCAACATGTCTTTAACACAGAGCCATGACTGACGTTAGAAGTCTGGATAGGTGTGAAGAGTGACTTCAAGTGCTGTCAGCAGATTAAGATTTTACTGCAGAGGCTGGGTGGTGGTAGTGCATGCTTTTGATCCCATCCCAACTCTTGGGAGGCAGAGGCAGGCAGATCTCTGAGTTCGAGGCCAGCCAATATGCTGTATGCATGCAGGTAACTGGTGGTTACTACAGAAAGTCGGAGGGACATCAGGGGAGTGGGTGCCGCCTCTCACCCAGTGATGGTAGGGCGGACAGGCTAACCCGTCAGCCAGAGTGATTCAGTTGTTCCTTAGCGTCAGGGATTCTGTGTCAGTAGAGGGGCAGCAGTCCCCTGGGAATGCCGATCAGAGGCAAGGCAGCTTCCTTAGGGTTTGTTGCAGTGGAGCTGGGAACGGGAGCCGGAGAAGGAAACTCTGGATGCTGAGTTCTTGGCGGTCACCACTTGCGTAAATGGTTTTTGCCCTGGTTTAGTTGTACTCTTGATTCAGGTCGCTGACGCCTGCCTTCTCTCTGGCACAGACCGACATCATCGACCACAGCTTTGCAGTGGAGTGGATGCAGGACTTTGAGGCTTTCCAAGATGCCTTGAACCAGGAGACTACCTACGTCAGTAACCTGACTCGCTCCATGAGCCTGGTGTTAGATGAGTTTTACAGCTCCCTCCGGGTAAATTGATCTCCTGATGTAGTGGTGGTTGCTGCAGATAATGGCTTACCATAGCCTTAACGGGCCAGCGCCGAAAGGAAATGCTCTACGTTCTGTAAAGCAAGCTCTGCTGCGTTGCTTAGTAAAGGGGGTCCATGGGCTGGGATGCAGCTCGGTAGCAGAGTCCTTGTCCAGCACGCACATTCATGCTTTCTTGGCAGGTGGTGGGTGTCTCTGCTGTGGTGGGCACCGGCTTCGATGAACTCTGTGCTCAGGTCGCCAGTGCCGCCGAGGAGTACGAAAGGTGAGGATGAGGGCAGGACCGTCGATGCGCTCTTCGTCGCACACCATCCTCACGTGGTGGTCGTGCCAGGAGAGGCATCTCCATCTCCTGTGGAAAGGGTATCTACTTGCCTATGTGTATCAGACCTGGCCACGCTCAGGAGTGACAGGTGCCTGTTCCCTTCTTTGAAAAGGTAGCCGTATAAAGTGTTCACTGCTCTGAGGGGTTGCCTGGCAGCGGCCATCAGGCCTGTTCTGAGAAGAGCCACTTGGTAGATCTCACAAGCTTCGTGGGCAACTTCTCACGTCTGTTGTAGGACAGAAGACCTGTAGATAGTTCAGAAACAGGCTCATGGTTATGTCCCTGTAAGACATCACCTGCTCACCGGCATGGTGTGGACTTGGCACTAGGGTTGCTGTATTACTTGAAGAAGTACACGCTAAGTGCTATCAGAGTTATTGACACCTCATGGAGACACTTCATTGCTGACAGTGGGGTCCCATTCACCTGTGACACCGAGACCATGACCTCATGGGCTGCTTGTTAGCATGCTGCTTGGGCTTCCTAGTTTGACCCTAAGGGCGACATTGTGGTTGCCAGGCAACATTATTTATCATACACTGATGAACCCTGAAGGGTATTGTGTATGTTTCCCAGGCTCAGGATGCAGTCGGTTCTGTTGTCACTCAGGTCCATCACTTCCTTACACCCCGGGCTTCCTGAGCAGCAGCCCGTCTCCTTACCTGTTTCCTCCTCACACCAGTGACGAGCCCCTCAGTTCCTCAGCGGGGGTGGCTTCATTGTCAGCTTCTACAGCAGCCCTTAGGTGTTGTTGAGTTCCACAGGGCAGACTCAGTGATGCGGAGGGTGTGCGGGGACTCCAGTGAGGTCGCAAACAAGGGATAGGTCGGGTGGGTGGTGTGGGTCATTCGGGAGAGGAACTTACAAGGCATTTCTTTCTCCAGGGAATATCGGCCTGAATACGAGCGCCTGAAGAAATCACTGGTAAGAGGGAGAGGGTTAGAGCTGTCAGAGAGTCCTTCTGACCCACACGTGGCACAGGCCTGCAGTCCCAGCCAGTCACCAGAGACTGGTGGGGGACTCTTGAGCGGAGGAGTTGGGGACCAGCTGGTATGCTGGCCTGTGCTGTAATCTGCACTCAGGTAGGAGGCATGAGAAGGAAAGAAGGTTTGGAGACCGGGGTCTCCGTGTAGCCCAGGATGTCCAGGAACTTACTCTGTAGACCAGGCTGGCCTCAAACTCGTAGAGATGTGCTTGTCTCTGCCTCCCGAGTGCTGGGATTAAAGACGTGTGCCACCACTGCTTGGCTTGTATTTTATTTTTTCCCCAGCTTTATTGAGATATAATTGACTAATGGAATTTCAGTGTTTCTTTTAAATTCTTGCATTTTTTTTTGTGTGTGTTTGTTTTGTTTTTTTTTCGTTTTTTGGTAGGGCTCTACACACTGAGCTGTGTGCTCAGCTCTGTTTGGTTTTGAGTTGAGGTCTCACCGTACCCCAGGCTGGTCTAAAACTCTGGGGCTCTAGTGCTCTCTTATCTCAGCCACCTGAGCAGGTGGGACTACAGGCCTGTGACACCACGTCCCGTCTCAAACCCTTGGTCATTGACATTGATAAGGCTGTGTGTAATTGTCTGTATGCAGAAAGGCCTCCTAGCAACCTTTCTTCTCTTCATATGTGAATATTTATCCTTCTTTTGCCTCATCCTTCTGAGTGCTGGGATTACAGTCTGAGCACCACACAGGCTTTGTATCTGAATTTTTAAAATATCCGAGTTTTGCTGAAATATATTTACCAAGACCTTTTATGCCCTACCTCACCCAGTCTCTGAGGTCAGCTTTAAGGCTTGTTGTAGGATTTTGAAGAGTAGAGGGTGTCACACAGCTCTTGTCCCAGACTCTAACTTGAGTCTCTCCCATTGTCAGAGCCTGCATGGGGTCCTTTCTCCGAGGGCCTTGCAAGCTCCACTTGAGGGTTCTTTGGTCATGGTTTTGGGTGTAAGCCCTGAAGCTCTGAATGAGTTCATTCAGCACATGACTGAGAATCTGCTGCCGCTTGGGCCCACTGGCTCACTCGTTTTGTCTCCATGTCTGCCATCCTTTACCAGCCTCTAGTACTTTATAATTCCTAATCTCTTCTTAAAAGGGTGCCATCTGGGGCCTGGGGACCCAGCTCAGTTGGTTGAGAGTCTTTTTAGCATGTATTGTGCTTGTTCTTAGGTGGTGGACCCTATTAAGTTCAATATCATCCGTGGTTACATAGAGAGTTTGGGGGTGGGTGGCCTACACTACATGATTCCCTACCTTTAAAAAAAAAATCAAACTGGCATCTAACTATTATATATATTATTGTAATAATTTATAATTTACTTTGCTTTATTTCTTTGTTCTGGAGATTGAAACCAGTGCTTCACGTCTGCTGAGCACCTAGCTGCTCACTTAAAAGCCCTGCCCCAGAGATCTCCTTTGAAAAAAAAAAGTTACAGTCTTAAATTTATTGGTATCTGGAGGACAAAGGACAGCTTGCGGGAGTCGGTTCTCTCCTATCACGTGGGGTCCGCAGATGGGATTCAGGTCGTCCCTCATGGCCGGCACTTACACCTCTGAGCCCTCTCACCAGCCCGGGACCTGCTGCTTTAACCTGAGGACGTTCCCTCCGTCTGTAGGCGAGTGCCCAGAGCGATCAGCAGAAGGAGCAACTGGAGCGCCTGCGGAAGGACATGGGCTCCGTAGCCCTGGACACAGGGACCGGCAAAGGTATCGGAAGGGCGCTTGCTGAGGGCAGAGGATGGGGGTGGAGCACTCAGCAGCAAGAGAAAGGGTGGGGCGGTGGGAGACGTGCGTACACGGATCTGCAAAGTGACCCGGGACAGAAAGTACCCGAGGGTGGTGTGCGCTTTACGCTGCTCTGAGGTCCTTTTGGAAGTTTTGTACTTTGGCAAAGTGCTCTGGCTGTTTTTTTTTTTTTTTTTTTTAAAGTGTATTATAACTGAATTTTAGATATTACTTAAAACTCATGCAAATATGATGATCTTTTATTTTGAATCCTTCTGTGTATACTTCCTAGAAATATAGATATTATTTTATAAAACCTCAGTATAGCTAGGAGGTGGTGGTGCATATGTTTAATCCTAGCACTCAGGAGGCAGAGGCAGGCAGATCTCTGAGTTTGAGGCCAACCTGGTCTACAGAGTTCCATCCAGGGCTACACAGAGAAACTCTATCTCAAAAAAACCAAACCAAACCAAAACACCTCTGCACAATGAGGAAAAAACGAGGAGATTAGCATGGAGACACCATTGTCTAATGCATGGCCTTACTTAGGTACAGCCATTTCCCTTCAGAGCAGACTTAGCGCATCAGCGTTGGGATTGAGAGCCCTTATCCACGGAGCGTTCAGCTTATCCTGGACTTCCTGTTTATTCTGCTGGTTTCTTTCCTTACATGCCTGCACATTTTAATTACGAAATGCTTCGGTGTCTGCTCAGGCTGGTCTCCCTGGTGCTGTTTCCTCTTCCTGCTATTCACACGTTTGCTTTTCCACATGCACTTCTCATCAGCTTCTCGGCCTCCTAGAAGGCTTTGGCATTTGTAAAGAGGTTGCCTTGTGCTGCTTACATAGGAAGAACCGACCTGGCTGATCTCACACCTTCCTCCTCAAGAGCAGGAAGAATTTTTGTATTTGGCAGGTCTTGTGTCTTTCTGGAATGTTATCCTGAGTATGTTTTGCATATTTCTTGTTACATTAGGCAGTGGATTTTGTCTTCCTTATTAAGTGTCATTACTGTTTTAAACTGCTTGGTCTCCTAACGTGTGGGTCTGTGTTGTGTTCTGTGTTTCAGTCTTTGATCCTGCTGCCTCCTCACTCTTGGTTCTTCCCTCTTCTGTCCCCTTTCTTTCCTTCTGTCTGTTATTCTTATCACTGACCCTCAGAGGGGAGTGTCTAGGATGTGCTCATATTAAATAATAAATACCCCTGGGGCTGCAGAGATGGCTCGTCAGTTAAGAGCACTTGTTGCTCTTGCAGAGAACCAGGATTTAATTCCCAGCCCCCATGATGGCTCATAACCACCCACTCCAGTTTCAGGGGAGCCATCTCTCTCTTTTGACCTCCATGGGCATCAGGCTTACATGTGGTTCATAAATACACAAATAAAAGTAGTCAAAACACACACATAATAAGTCTAAAATACATATATACCCCACTTCCTCGAGAGGCAAGAAGATGAACTGCCCACAAGAAGCAGGGTGGAAAATTGTTGCAACTCTGTGAGACCCAGAAACCAAATAGATGGACTTTATTTTTTAATATATAATAAGTTCCATTTTATTTATATATTTATTGTGACAATAAATTATAAGCTTTAGGTTTTTTGTTTTTTTTTTTTCCTTCATATAGCAACATTTTTTTCTTGGGTACCTTATTAAAAGAAAGAAGCTTCTGTTGTGACCTTCATTCACTTGTTTTCATCAGAGAACAGCAAGGTGGGAACCTGCCTCGGTAGCCAGTGACATGAATGCTCCTGGGCCATTCCTGATACCTCCCCATCTCATGTGTGTATACACCGAGGTCCTCCAGAGTCACAAATCTGGAGTTAAATCTGCTGCTGCATCCAGATGGGAAGGGAAGAAGAGTCCATGGATGATTTGAGAAAAGTCTCTAGTATATTTGGGTTATTCTTAGTTGGGTGTAGAAGGACATACACTGTCAGCGTATTCTGTCGTCATTGTTCTATAGAGACATAGGTCCCCACACACATACACACACATGGTTTTACTATACATCTCTGGCTGTCCTGGAACTTCTTCTGTAGATCAAGCTGTCCCCGAACTCACAGAGATCTGCTTGCCTCTGCTCAAGTGCTGGGATTAAAGGTGTGCACCACCATGCCTGGCTGGCCACTGAGATCAGCCTGTCTTACACTTCTCCCTAGCTGAGCTCACCAGCCTGACAGTCTCTTGAACAGTGGTCAGTGTTCACACCCTGAGTCCTGGGCCAGGAATTTCTGGATCAGACTTTCTTCCCATTCTTAGGGCCTAGTCCTTATCCACCAAGTAGGGAATTTTACCTCTAATAGTATATTTGTGCTGGGAGCCATCCCTGGCGGTAGACAGGTCCCTGCAGAGGATGTAAGGAGTTGGCGAGGGAGGGAGGTAAGCCAGGCCATGGTGGTGGTGAGAATCTTACAGCTATAAATAAATAAAGAGTGCTCCGTTATTTATACAGAATTTAGTAAGCAGAGATAGATTCATGTTGTTCCAAAACATAGATCATATCATTTTTGTCTTTGGACATGGGTTTCACTTCCTTTTGCTCATCTTTTAGTCATCATTAATAAACTATGACAGGACAGAGTTATAATTTCCAATCATTTTCCCTCAAGTTTTAACATCATTGATAAACAGTTATTTTTTTATAGCCATTTTTACTCATTAACTCCATAACCCAATTTTTAAGAATCTTAAGGCGTATGACTGGTAGATCTGGTTGCTTCAAGGACACCCGGCCATATTGCCGTGTCCCAAGCAGTGTATTATTAACTCTTAACAGTCAGCATGCCCAAGAAAAGTCCTCAGGCCAAAGCTGCTGCAGTTATTATTTAAATTTTGGCATAATACAATGTTTATATTTTATATCTTTATAGAATTTTATATGTCTAATCCTGGCATTCTGTTGTTCCTTGGTCACATGACACCACAGTGACTCTGCGTGAGCTAACTTCTCTAAGAAAGGGAGGTCCTGACACCTCATTCTCTTATCATCTTTCCACTCCATTCTTTGCTCATCAATATAAGTCCCTGTGTGGGGCAGAGGCGACTCCAGCTAGTCTAACTTTGTAGCTGTATATGCCACGTAATCGCCTGAGTGTTCAGTGGGAAGAGGCTTGCAATTCTTCTAGCCCACCGAATCTTGTTAACCTTTCAAGTTTACTTTGTTTTGAATATCTTGTCCCTAAGTAAGTACAGGGACAGATGTTTCAAGAATGTCTCATAGCCTCATAAAGAGACCTCTGGCTTCTTTACGTGTGTCACAACCTCCAAGGTGTAACAAGACCTTCAAGTAGATGAGGATATATATCTTCCTAAAAGTGGGAGGGGTAGTATGTCCAGGACTTTCCTGGGGAACCTTAGAAGCAGCATTCCTGGGAGAAGGCATAAATGATTCAAAAGGAATTTTCTATCAATCCAGTATCCCCAGATTGTGCAAATATTAAAAGTTCTCTAAGTATGCAACAAGTGGAGATGAAAACCCACGGTGCCATGGCAGCCATCATGGGGCTCAGCTTGGCTGGATCTTTGTCAAGCAGCTGGGCTGGCCTATGACTTCTGCCGTTCCCATCAGATATGGCTGCGCCACATTTGATTTTTTTTTTAACCCCCCTTCCATTGCTTGAAGGTTGCCATGGCAGCTCTATTCCATATCATTTCACCCTGTATTTTCTTCAGACCTCCCCTGAACCTCTATCCCACCCAGGAGCTTCTACAGTCTTTAAACTATTGCCAGTTTGCAACCTTATATTTCCTTATCTTTCATTGGAAAAAACCATAGCTCCTTCTAGTCTGTGAGCTAGCGAGGCAGCGTGCTGGTGTTTCAGGGGTACGTTTCTTATGTTTTCCTCAGTGGAAATAAGGGGGCTCGTGAAAGTGCTTTGTGAACGAAGCCCTGGTAGAAATGACAGGTGGAAGACTCACTCTCCTGCCTTCTGTTTGTCACGAGCTCTCTGATGCTGCCAACGGATAGTCGTAATTACTCAGAAGCAGCTCTTGAAGACGCATCTGTACTGACGAGTGTTTTAACCCCAGACAGTGTCGCTCCTGTGCTGGACCCTTCTGACTTGATCCTGACTCGAGGAACCTTGGATGAAGAGGATGAGGAGGCGGAGAGTGATACGGATGACATCGACCACAGAGGTGAGAGGTCGCTGGTGGGACTGACGCTGTTGAGACTTTGAAGATCCGAGTATGTGGTCAATGGCAGGAAAGAGGATGCTAAACCGAACAGTGCCAGCAAAGTCCTATATGTTCTACACGCACACATTTATGCTCCACGGTCTACTTGTGTTCCCTTGCTGTGACAGAATAGCCTGACAGAAAGCAGTTAGTGTCAGAAGGGTTTGCTTCCTAACTCCAGGTTCCATCGTTATGGAGAAGTCAAGGCAGGGACTTCCCTCACATCCACAGTCAGGAGCTGAGAGCAGTGCATCCATACAGCCTCACTGTTTGTATGCCCTCAGCTTGACTTTCCTCTCAAGACAGTCAGGAGCCCTGTCTAGGGAACAGTGTACACACAGTGGGCAGGGTACCAAAACCCCAGTACCATGCCTTTTATGCCTTGTAACTTCTGACTCATCTGCAGATGCCACTGTTTCTGTTAGTGCTGTGTTGGTTAATTGGTGATAAGGATGGACTCCAGGGCTTCCTGCTTGTTAAAAGCATGTGCCACTGAGCTACATCCTGAGTCCTAATGTTGGGTTTTTTAAAAAATGTATTTATTTTTACTTTATGTATGTGAATGTCTTGCCTGCATGTCTATGTACGCACTATGTGAATACTTGGTCCCCGCGGAGGTCAGAAGTCCCCTGGAACTGGAGGTACAGATGTTGTGAGCCACCACGTGGGTGCTGGGCACAAAGCTGGGGCCTATGTAAGAGCAACCGATGCTCTTAACCACTGAACCACCTCTCCAGCCCCTGAGTGATTTGTTTTGGATCTTTAACAGTCAAATATGGCGGTTCTCTACTTATTCCTAGCTCTTGGGTAGCTGAGGCAGTGGCTAACTCTACTCTAGATGTTTCTCTGTCTCTTCCCTCCCTGAGTAGACCTCCTGTTAGTTATTTATGAAGGGGATGTTCTCTTTACTTAGCTGCTGCACACTTTGGTAACTTGATAAATAAGGCACGCTTCTAGAAGCCGTTTCATTAATGGAGGTGTGAGTACTTAATGCCGGAAAAGTAGTTTCAGCCAGGTGTGGTGGCACATGCCTGGAACCCAGTGGTGGAGACTGAGGCAGGAGGACTTTGAGTTCCAGGCCAGCTTGGGATTTATAGTGAGTCCCTGTCTTGAAAAAGTGAGAAATCATTTTCAAATGTGGTTTCTGACGGGGGGTGGGGGGGTGGGGAGGGTGACAGGGCTGACTTGCTTGTCGTTCCCGGAGGGTTTTAAAAGGAGCACCCTTTTCTCCTACAGTTACAGAGGAAAGCCGCGAAGAGCCAGCGTTTCAGAACTTCATGCAAGAATCAATGGCACAACATTGGAAGAGAAACAAGTAGCCCATCCCACTTGTTCCTGAGTCTGACATGCTGGGTCTCCACAGAGAGGTCCTTCCTGGGAGTCAGGGCTGCAGGCAAGAGCAGTTTCTCCAGGATAGTGACTTCTTTGAGGGAAACCGGACTTAGATGAAGTCAGGGTTGAAGCTGGAGCTGGCAGGTGGGTGCCCGTCCTTGGGAACTTCTCCTGGTATTTAATACAAGGAAGTGGATTCTCACCGCTCTGGAAGCTGATAACTGTCGAGCCTAAAACTTGGAGTTGCACTGTTTGAACTCAAGTACTTTCGCTGCTCATGGGACGGTTCTGAAGACGACTTTGGATCTTGACCAGGCTGGACCGTGGACTCAGCTTCTTTAGCACTGTGTTTTTGCCTCTGCACCTCAAGTTGCTGTTCTTAACAACAGGATGGGAGGAGACGGGGCAGTGCGGGCCCTTGGCAGCCAGAGCTGGTATGAGATGTGCTCGCAAGGGGTAACATTATAGAGAGTTCTGTTTGAAGGGTGACCTGGATAAAGTTTTTAACTTTGTGGTAAACCTGTCTGTCATGATTTCAAGGTAGAAATTACGTGATCACTAATTGATTCACTGTTAGAACCGGACTTTAAAGGCAGGTCTGGCGGGATGTAATGTGTAGTTTAGTTTCCCATGTGCATTACATTACCTACCCAGGTCCAAAGCATGTCCTATTTATATTGTCCTTAGAACAATGTAGAGCATTGTGATCACAGGATTTGGCTAGGTATCTATTCAATAACACAAAACCAGAAGGGTTTGCCCTCGTTCTCAGAGTGCAGTCTCTGGACCAGAAGTAAGATCATCAGCCAGGAAAGTTTTACTGATTTATCTCCAAATTGGCTTCACCAGAAATGGGGTGGGGGCTCAGCAGACTGTTCAGTAAGCCCCCCAGGTGACTGGGGTGTGCTCGACTTTCAGAACACTGTTCCAACTCAGCCTACGACTTAATCCCAGGCCAGATGAATCAGCTACCAGTCCTCATAACTTGCCTTTTCAAAGTATCCTTGTCTTTCTTGACTTGGTGCCTGTCCTCCAGTATTATTTCAAGGCAACACAGAATTTTATTTTACCATTAATTATTCAATATTCCATACCTAGTGGGAAACTCTGATCTTTCCTTTTTAAAGCTAAAACCTTTCTGCCCGACGTCATGCCGTTGTGGTGCACATCTTTTTTTTTTTTTTTTTTTTGTGGTGCACATCTTTAATCCCAGCATTTGGGAGGCAGACAGGTGGGCTTCTGTGAGTTCGAGACCTGTCAGGGATACCTAGTGAGACCGTCTTAAAAAAGAGAAAGAGGACCTTTCTTGTGTCCCAGACCACCTCTGCCTCCTGAATGCTGTGTCTATACGGTTGGGCCACTATACTTGCTTGACCTATTTAAGGGGAAACTATTTGCAAAGCAATACTCTGAACATGTTCAGCTCTTCTCCATGGTGCCTCCTCTTACCTATTTCTCTCTTAAAATGTTACTTGTCTCTCCTGCTGTCAGCTCTGTAGGGTCCTGTCTTTATGCCACTTGTGTGAGACTTAGTATATGGATGTGCTTAATGAATGTTTCCCAAGTAAGTGAACTAAACACTGTACATACACTGCCTCTTGGCCACTTCATTCATGAAAATGAAGATCAAAACGGGGTAGATTTTAAGAGTGTTAAGGATTAGTTTGGAAATTCATAAATATTTTAAAATAAGGTATAACTTCAGGTCAGTCTAAGGTACATGATGTGGCTGTCTTTAAAACCCCTGGAAGTGGGATGGGGAGATGGGTTAGTGGGCTAAAGGCGTTGCTGTGCCAGCCTGGCGCCATGGGTTCCGTCCCTGGAGCTGTGTGAAGGTGGATGGAGAGAGTTGTCTCTGGCTTCCTCACACACGACCGCACCCACATGCGCTAGCACACAGGCACGAAGTAAACCCGGAAACACACTCCAAGGTCGGGAGCTCAATCCCTCACCTTGGTTTGGCATTTGAGGAAGGGAACATGCCTATCCTTTGGCCTAAACTCGTTTACCATTTGAGATAGAGCTATGCTTGGCCTTCATCGGAGCTTATGGCAGTGGGCATCAATCAGTTAATGCAGAAACCTGTAACTGGCCCAAGTGTGGCGAGTGAGTGGCGGTGAGGTGCTAATTAGGACATATCTATATCACACACACACACATACACACACACCCGTGCTCAGGGACCGTCATAGAAGGGGGGTGAGAAGAATTTAAGAACCACAGGATGGGAGATGGACAGCAAAAAGATACCTTCTGAAGATGATGTAGCCACTGTACTCACGGACTCACTATAGCGCTGGTTACCTGCACAAGATAGGCCTGCCAACATTTCATCATGATGAGGGCACCCTTGAGACCCCACCCCTCCGAGGGCCTGTTAGCAAAGGCTGGTTGTTGAGGGAGGGGGTGTGCTTTTCCTCAGTGAGGTGGCTGCTGCTAGGTTGCTTTTGTTCCACTAAGTTCTCACCTACACTTGAGCCAACTCTGATAAACAGGGTCACACACACAGGACATGAAGGGGGTGGGGCGGAACTTGTTCAGAAGAAGGGAAACACTTGACTGTTTTCAAAAATAATTTATTTTTAAATTTATTGTGTGTGTGTGTGTGTGTGTGTGTGTGTGTGTGTGTGTGTGTGTGTGTGTGTAATGCCCAGGCATGCACCATGGCATGTATATAGGCCAAAGGACAACTTGGAGAGGTTAGTTCTCTCCAGGCACCATGTGGGGTTTCAAGTGCCTTTACCCACTGAGCCATCTCTCTGGCTCCTCAGATGTCTTCTTCAAGAAAACAACAAAACAAAATAAACAACAAAGAACAACCTGGAACAAACCAAATGCTGCCCATCTAGCAACTGGAGCAGGTCCTGTTTGCATCCTTCACAAAGGAGAAAACGAGCAGTTGGAAATGTGCATGGTGAAAATACTTGAAAGTCTCTGTCAGCAGAAAGCATACTAAAAGTAAAAAGGATAAGGTTGGATGGAATAATCTAGAAAAGAACTGTGGGGAAAGCGCTATTTACATAAGGCTGTCACCACGGGGCTCTTATTTTGTAAGAGGCTTGAGTAGCAAAAATAGTTTTGAAACATGACTGATGTTATGTTTAGCTGTGTTCTGTATTACTACTGGATTCCCAATGACTTGACCCAAAATAAACGAATGAGAACCTGACATCTCGAATGGCATATATTGATGTAAATGAATGCACACAGGCCTTGGTGTTTAAGCAGAACACCTCGGCTTCGCACCTCTGCAGGGAACATCATCAAAGTGTCGGTGATTCTTCCCAACTGTGCCCGAGAGATGGCCGAGAGGAGCTAAGAACGTGTGTCCCACAGGAAGATAACAGCGGGGACCGTGCTTTGGTCTGATAACTGCCAGTATCACAGTCGGTCTGTGAACAGTGGCTCTGTTGTTCTGAAAAAGCACAAAAACGGTGCCAACGTGAAATGTAGCCAGGCTAAGACCTTTTCTCTGAAATTAGGAAAGCCCGCTGTATTTAAGAATAAGAATCCAATCACTATTATGGAAACAATCTAAACAACGAGGTTCTCTGCTGCTGATGCTGGTCTGGACCAGAAGGTCCTGCAGTTAAATCTTCCTCATCTTCTTCTTGCAGCGCTGGTTGAAAACGGGGGAGGACCCCATGAGGCTATCCGTGGAGTGGGAACCATAGCTGCTGTCCGAGTCCTCGGGGCTCTGTGGGATTCCAGCTTCACTCATGCCTGACATTGGTTCCTCAAAGACGTCGCTGCCCAACACCCCATGCCCAGACACGTTGCCTTCTTCACTCTCCTGAGGCTCCATTTTCACATGAGCCAGGTTCCAAAGAGGAGAAGCATTTACTTCTGCACCTAGAACGAAGGGGAAGAGTATGAACCTGTGGGGGGCCAAACAGAACAACTGACTCCCATCCAGGGCTGATGAACATCCTCTACGTTGTCTTCATTGCTGTTCCACATATGGACTGAGGATGTCTATATGTCACCCCAAATTACCAACTTCCTCTCCACTTCCCTTCACCTTACCCACCTCCATTTTCCCTACACCAGGAAAGTAAAACTGGGTGGAAAGATTATGTTCAAAGGTAGATACAGTTCCAGGCCTTGCTCAGGTAGTTTATCCTGTCCTTCCCGTGTGTGTGTGTGTGTGTGTGTGTGTGTGTGTTATACAAATAAACCTGCAGGTATGTGTGCATACCTACATGCATGCAGAAGCCAGAGAAGGATGCTGGAATCTTCTGTTGCTCTTACTGCCTTGACCTGGAACTCAGTTTTTACAAGGCTGGCTGGTAAGCTTTTAGGATCACCTGTCTCCATTTCCCAGTGTCGGGATTAGAGACACACATAGCCACCCACTCCTTTGACATGGGTGCTAGGGATTCGAACCCGGGTCCTCACGCTTGCAGAGTAAGCTCTCCTACCCACTGAGCATCTCCCAAGCTCTCTTTCCTTCCTTTTATGGGGCTGTCTTCTTATTTTCCTGCCTTTTGTTTGAGACTCTCTGGACCTCTCCTGCATTCTGAAGACTCTGATCACTGCATGATGCTGACATCTGTCCCCTGCTTGTTTCTCCTGACAAGGGACATGGTCCTGGATGCCCCTCCCTCTCTGTAATCTGGTAATAAATACAGTTCTGCTGTTAACTGTTTCTTCTCCCTTGGCCAAAAGCCTCTTTTCAGCATGTCTGACACTGGCCTAATTTTCTGTGGGTCACATTTGAGGATTTGATATTTAAATTTCTTATGCATTTACATTTGTAAACAAGTATCCAAACTAATTTGCAATGTAACTGACTTGGGTAGTGAGGCAGGCAGTGTGTGGTGTAGCCCAGCCATCCCAGCACGAGGGAGGCTGAAGCTGGAGGACTTGAATTTCAGACCCAATAGACTGTACGGCAAGACCTGTCTCAATAACCAGCCAAACACATACAAGTGTAATGGCCTAAAACTAAAATGAACCAGTGTCATCACAGCTACAACCTACAAGAGAGCCGCGTACTCAAACAGGGTACAACAATCTCATCCTTTTGTCTGCAGTTGGTTGGCCGTCTCTAGGGAGGAACACAGCTTCTTCAGCAGAGCATACTGAAAAGGGCCCACCACAGCTGTTTGTTTCAGCAACGTTCTTCTGCCCATGCCTGCTTCTCCCCACTTAGAGTCCGAGTCTAAAATGTCTAAGTGCTAAGATGGACAGAACTAGAACCCAACTGCACGTAGTGCCTTACTTGAAGCCTGTGGCGAAGCCTCCACCTCCAGGTTGGATGGGAAGCGCTCACTCTGAGCCCCGAGGACTCCGATGGGTAAGGACTGGTCTCCAGAAGCAAGGTCAGCTTCCAGCTCCTCACTGACAGGAAATGTGATGTCACTCACAGGTTCCTCCTTGATCTTCACAGGTTTAGTGTCTTCCGTGGCCTTCTCGGGATTGACAATCCTTTCATACTCTTCAGAGAGCTGCTTACTAATCTGTTGGCAAGCAAGAGTTAATTTTCCAAGGCTATTCTAGAATTTGATTGGATAGTCAACTTGTGGTAACCCAAGGAGAACCCAGCAGAGTACTGGTTAACAGATGAGTTGTACTTTTATTTTTTCTTTCTTTTTGGTGTGTGTGTGCATGTATATGTACATGTGTGGGTATGCACGTGTCTATGCATGTATGTGTGTGCATGTGCACTCAAGTGCATGTGTGTGGAGGTCAAAGAGTCATCGCAGCTGCCTTTCTCAGGTGCTTCCGCCTTGTGAGAAAGCTATCTCCAGGAATCCCTCTCCATCTCCCATCTCACCAATGCTGGGATTTCAGGTGTGCGCCACCACACCTGGCTCTTTTCATGGGCTCGGTCGGGGATCTGAATCAGGTCCTCATGCTTTTGAGGCAAACACTTAACTGAGCCAGCCTGAAAGATGAATGGTAAAACTTCTCCTGCCAGGGCTGGGCGTGCAGGCCAGCGGGAGAGCACGTGCTTCGGGTGTGCAAGGCCATGCATGCATCGGCAGCACCACTAAGCAACAAGGACTTGCGCTGTCAATGGGTGGAAATTGCTGAAGGGTCGGGTCCAAGGTGACGACAGAAGCATACAACGAAAATGTGTCAGAAAATGTCTTGATCATTAATGAAAAGTTACATGAGGCAAGTATGCCGGAGGGAGGAGAGGAAGGCCAGCCACAAGTGGAATCCTGTCTCACATGACAGACCCCCCCCCCCCCACACACACACACACAGACATGTGGCCTATAGACCCTACGGTCCAACACGAGTGAAGCAAGCAATCTGGATCCTAAGCAGTCTCAGTTAGAAGCTGAGGGTTCCCGGTCACTCTTAAGTGGACAAACTGCCTAAGATGGACAAACTGGAGAGATGTGTGTGCTCTAACCCTAGCCCTTCAGGCCCCCTTCCAGGACCTCCTTTGGTTTTGTTTAGTTTTCGACCCACTTAGTGTTCTCTGAAACCATTGTGGCTATTACAGGTTTGCCTGGTTTTGCTTCTCGTGACTACTGCAAGTTCAAAAGAGTTTACTCACCTAGTGAGCTATGACCTCCCACAATGCCTGATTCACAATAAGTCACAATAAATGCTTGTTGACTAAAAAGAATGCTAAGCACAGTGCTGAGACCCCAGATACCTTTGAGCTGTCCACTGACTGAAAGGGCCCTGACATCTCACTGGGCCAGTGTGAGGCCACAGAAACAACAGGCCTCGAGAAAAGTGGGTTAAAGCCACTCGGCTGCAAGTCCCCATGCACTGCGCTCCGGAAGGAACCTGTGCTGTGGACACTGCTCGACACTCCCAGACTATGGCATCGGTGCCCACGTCTCCCGGGCCACCTCACCTGGAGCATGTAAGTGTGATAGTCCTTGATGCGATGCTGCCAGAACTTCTGGAGGGAGAGCACGCTGCCAATGCCCACTTCATGGAACACCTGCTCCATGACATCAGGGAACGGGGACTGTCCCAGCAGGGCCTCCCGGTCTACGGCAAAGCGCAGCAGCTTGGTGAACTTCAGGCAGTACTCGTGCGCCACGTCAGTCAGGGTCTCCAGGACGCTCTCATTAGCACACTCGAAGCCTGCGTGGGCCAGGATCGTGGCCACGGCTTGGTAGAGGAGCTGCCGGCAGGAGGGCCAGCTGAGTTCAGTCACAGGTTCTCCTCTTCCGCTGAAAGAGGAGGCATGCTAGTGTTACCTGTGCTCTTGCCCAGGGGTGGCCAACCTGTGGCACTGAGAGTTTTACAATTCCACCTTCCCAGGGAAACAGACCCCTTCATCCTGCAATCTCCCCAGCGACTGCTGTGTATCTGAAGGCAGGGTCTCTCCTTGGCCTGGAGCTCACCCAGGAGGTTCACTGATTGGCTAGAGAGCTAACAATTAAAATAGAAACCTGACCAAAGAAACAAAAATAAAAACAAACCCTACAAAATTATAGTAATATCATGAGTTTAATATGATGAACAACAATATTTTGTTGAATGAAACTATATGCCCTCAAAAAATGTGAATATGGTGCTGACTGTTATAGGCTGTTTTTTCTTCTTTTTTTCCCTTGTTGCTAGGCCACGGCTCCACCACTGAGTGATCTCCTCAGCCTTCTTTTTACCTTTTATGTATCACTGTATTATTTCACTTCTAGTAAAATGAATGGTATGAGTAGGCACTCAATGAATGCCTACTGTATTAGAAAATTAAAAACATACAGACTCTAGAGTCTGAAGATTTGGACTAACCCAAGACATTCCACTAATGATGTGAGCGCTGTCAGCCAAGTCAATCCCTCCCATCCTCAGTTTCCTTGTGCAGAAGTGGAAATGCTCCTATAATCTTAACAGGATCACTGGGGAGGTCACTTAAGAAAAAGATAACATAGCTGGACAGTGGTGGCACATGCCCTTACACCCAGCACTCGGGAGGCAGAGCCAGGCCGATCTCTGTGAGTTCGAGGCCAGCCTGGTCTACAGAGTGAGATCCAGGACAGGCACCAAAACTGCACAGAGAAACCCTGTCTCGAAAACCCGAAGTGGGGGAAAAAAGAAAAAGATAACTAGCAATGCTTCGTCTTACCGGTAAAAGTCGCTCTCCGGGTCACTGTGCCGGATCTGGAAGGGTGCATTGGGATTTTTACAATCCAAAGGCTGGAGGTCATCAGGGAGAGGAGGCGACCCAGGGCAGGAGGGAAGAGGGTCACTCTCTTCGGCCTTTACGCCTTCCGTCTGCTGCTGACTCTGGGTCTGAGCTGTGGCGATGAGGCTGCGAAGGCGTCGGTTGTGCTGGATCAGCTGAATGGTGTGGATGGTGAGGCTGCATGGCTCCGAGGGGATGTCCAGCATGGTGGGCGGCTTGGGCTTGTTGGCTGAGGGCTGGTGCAGGGGTGGGTCATGGACTTCCACCAGGCGGAACTCCCGTGGGAGCAGGTCAAAGGAGCTTCTGTTGGTCTGGCCTGACGGGATTGGTATCTCTCCCCAGTATCTCAACATTTTAGAGCCAGCAGAGAAGAGCCCTCAGGGTTAATGTAGATGAGCCCCTACGGGTAATGTGTTTAAGTCTCTGGCAATTGCAGATCATAGGCTTCTGCAGTGAAAAATATGAAGTCCAGGCAGTTCTTACATAAAAAGCAAGTTGAGATCACTTTGAGAAAGGTGTCAGCAAAACTCTAGGACAAAGGATGTTCTCCTTGAAGAGATTAAGAGAAAAATAACTGTCAGATGCCAATCACACGGTGACAATTCCTCTTGGACTGAAGGACAAAAGAACAATTGGTCATTAGTAGATGAACAGCAGTCATGGTGCCTGGGACTCTAACATATACACTGCCTGTTTCCTTCACTAATTCATGACCAGAATTCCCATCATGCCTAAATCTAAACACTTCACAAAGCATGTTTTTTTTTTTTTTTTTCTTCTTTCCGTTTTTCAAGACAGGGTTTCTCTGTGTAGTTTTGGTGCCTGTCCTGGATCTAGCTCTGTAGACCAGGCTGGCCTCAAACTCACAGAGATCCGCCTGCCTCTGCCTCCCAAGTGCTGGGATTAAAGGTGTGCGCCACCACTGCCTGGATACAAAGCATGAAATTTCAATGGGAGGCCTAGAGTATTTCCAGAGTATTTTGACACAACTGTGCTAGATTAATAGAAAAAAGAGATTAGCACTAAAAATACTGACAGATAGCCAGATGTGGTAGCACACGCCTTTAATCCCAGCACTCTGGAGGCAGAGTTGGGCAGATCTCTGAGTTCGATGTCTACAGAGTGAGATCCAGGACAGCCAGAGCTACACAGAGAAACACTGTCTTGGAAAATAAACAAAAAATACTAGCAGGTGCTTTTTATCCTATGCCGTGCCTGAGCATATTTTAATTTATCCTGGTGGAAACATTCATGAATGTTTAATCTAGCCTTATGCTTTCAAATTCAGACATACAGATGAAAGAATACAAGAGGTTTCTTTGTGTGCGCATGTACATGGAGTCCAGAGATCAACCTTGGGTGTCGTTCCTCAGGTGTCCTCAATCTTGCTTTTTGAGACAGGACCTCTCACTGGAACCTTGCTGCTCATTCCAGACCAGTGACCTCCAGGGATCCGCCCGCTTCTGCCGCCCCAGAACTAAGTTCATAAACACATGTAGCCACACCTGGGTTTTTTATATGGGTTTGGGGGCTCAAACTCAGGTCCTCATGCTTGCAATGGGAAGTGCATTATAGACCGAGCTGTCTCCCCAGACTGAAGCTGGGAGACTTCAGCTGCTGACTAACTGGTTTCCCTCCCTCTAGTCTTTCCCAGAATACTTTACATTGTTGCTGGACTTGCTCGCTCTCTCTCTCTCTCTCTCTCTCTCTCTCTCTCTCTCTCTCTCTCTCTCTCGCTCGCGTGCGCTCGCGCTCGCGTAGGCAAGTGTTTTATCCCTGAACCACACCTCCAGCCTGTTTTTTTTTTTTTTGTTTTGCTTCTTTGTCTCAGACAAACTCCTGATGAATGCAATCCTTGGGGAAAAAAAGTCGAAATTCTGTGGCTTACCATTCAATGAAACTTACAATCTGTCTTCAATTCGCTTCTCCAGATTCATTGCCTATATGTCTCTTCAGGTTCGATACACATCGATTGAATACTAGACATTGTGTGAAGGTGCAAGCTCTTTGTCCTGAGGTGAGAGACACAGAAACAAAATATTTCAGTATAGGAGCGTGCAGTAACTGCTAAAGGTGTGGACCCAGTGCCCTGCAGGCCAACAGAGGGGATTCCTGGGTTAAATGACCTTAGTTCTAACAATTTCATCCTACTAAGTTTCTTTTTTCTTTGTAAATTTTTTTTTTTTAACATTTACTTATTTTGTGTGTGTGTTTGGGGGTGTGCATGTAGAAGTCAGAGGGCAGATTGTGAGAGTCAGTTCTCTCCTTCCACCATGTGGCTTCCAGGGATTGAACTCAGGGCGTCAGGCTTGGCAACAAGTGCCTTTACCAGCTGAGTCTTCTACCTGGCCCCTCAAAAAATAAACTATTTTTGCCGGGCGGTGGTGGCGCACGCCTTTAATCCCAGCACTCGGGAGGCAGAGCCAGGCGGATCTCTGTGAGTTCGAGGCCAGCCTGGTCTCCA